GATACCACCTGCAGCTATGGAAACAGAGGTCTTATGGTGGATGCAGCAAGTGCTGGCTTACCTAGACAATCTTGTTTCTGCATGGGATGAGTTTGGATGGAGGGACGCGTCTGTCCAACAGTTGGATGAGGGTGTGGAAGATGGAGCAGTCGGCTCATCCCTCCAATTACAGATCCCAGAATGTATGGATCTAATTGATTTTCCAGTGGAGGATGTTGTGGGTGATGAATCACCTGCCAAAGTGCTGGCACAGGACCCAAGGGCCACCAGCCCGTGCCCTAGACATTTAGCCATTCCAGCGACATGGGGTTGTACTGACTTTTCTACTGAGGAGGAACCAGCCAGCGAGCCACCAGCTGAAGCGCTGACAATCAGACAGAGGGTCCAGGACCTCTGCCCCACACCTGTAGTAGTGTCAGAGGCCAAGGGGGAGAAGGGAGAGGAGGTTGTTGTCCTCCCTCCCCCACAGTCAGCCAGAGTGGAGGAAACTGTTTTCCCTTCCAAGCCAGGATCTGTGCCCAGGGGGACCTTGACAGAGGAATGCCATCCCAGCTGCAGATCCCCAGTCTGGGAGTGGAGGGAGCCACCACCCCTCCCCTACGGTTGGCCGGAGCAGATGTGGGGTCCCCAGCAGCAGTGCTGGCACCAGGGCAGAGCTCCTCTGGCCTCAGTCTAGCAACTACAGCCACCACCTGGATACCCCGGGGATGTTGGGCAGTCGGCCCAGATTCGGCACCGCATGACGGAGTCAGCCCAGCCACCCTGCCATCTCCCCAGTGGCTGAGAGGATTTCCGGGAGAAGGACCAGTCCGTACTTCTCTCCAGTGGCAGGTATGTTCTACGGGAGAGGCAGAGGTTGGCTGGGTGAGTAACGCTTGGTGTGGGACAATTTGCATGGGGTACTGTGTGGGTGCTGGCATTGAGAGACTGGAGGTACAGACTAACTTCAGAGTACATCCGCCTGTAATCTAATCTTGCGTTAGTCTCCTGCCGAAAAGGGAGATATGTGATGGGAGTGACTTTTGGGGGTGGGGGGACTGCTTGGTCAGCCTGTTAAGGGGTACAGGGTGTAAATGTGAATGTCCCAGTCTTGTGTATAGTGTGTGTTCCTTTTTCTCGGCCATGTGGTTGCCCATTGTCTACTGCCATGTGGCTATTCCTTTGTTCTCGGCCACATGGCTGTCCATTGTTTGTTTGCCATGTGCTTCATCCCATTGTTCTGTGTCTTGGGTTGGTTGGGGTGGTTCCCTGTAGCTCTTCCCACTGATGGGGCTGGCTGATGATGTATTCCCTGCAGCCCTTTCCACTGATGGGGTGGGTTGATGATGTGTTTCCTGCTCCTGGTTGTGTTTCCCCGCCCTCTGTATATATCCTGTGTTTTGTGTTAAAATAAAGAGTTGGCTATACCCAAGAGTGGTCGAGTTCTGGTTCTGTTACACCCAGGTTTCGGTGATCGCTAGGAGGTTAAGGGATCGGGAGACAAAGAGGTCATGAATGGAGATGAGCTTGTTGCAGACCTAGCAGGCATTCCAGAGTGCGCATGAGAACAGGAGGGTGGTTTTGGGGAGCAGGGGGACAGATATAAGATTGAGGGGGTTGTGGCAGTTCCCGGAAGAGAGAGGATGTCTTGTGCGTGGGCGAGGTAGTGGGGGATCAGGGTTCGGGGAGATATCCCCAGAGGTTAGGAGAAGCAGAAGGGTGAGAAAGGTGGCATGGAAGTGGGATGTACATGAGCGCGTATGTCTACCAGTTCTGGTGTTCGGGTCAGCAGGAGAGTGGAGTATCAGGAGGAGGTGATGAGAGCAGTAGTGGTAGTAGTAGTAAATGGAAGCACATCAGCTCTGTGATGGAAGCAGTGAAGGTGAGATTTACAGTTGTTTGGGTGGACCAGAGGGACGGAGAAAAGAGATTTTGGGGACGCAGGAGAGGAATATGAGGAGGAGTAGAGGAGGCATTTCCAAAGGTAAACTGAGTGGGAGTCAGGTGTGGAGAAGAGTTTCCCCGGGTGCTTGATTGCAGATGGCCCAGTGTGCAGTGGAGTTTTTCATAGTTTTGTCTACCTGCAGTTAGGGTTCTCATGCTTAAGTTCGGTAGAGTTCAGTTATGTGTCTTATGGCCAAGGGTGGTACTGGTCCCAGGGGATCTATGGCGCCCAGTGGCGGTGTAGAGGAGTAGTAGAATAGTTGGAGTCAGGCTACAAGTTCCTAGAAAGTTTTATCCCTGTAAATATGTAATTGGACATATTTTGGCTTTTCTCCAATCAGGGCTGGAATTGAAGTTGGCCTAAAGTACCATTAAAGGCCAGATATCGGCCCTGGCAGTTTTTCCAGAGACCAATTGCTTGTCATTCATTGATACGCAAATATATTAAGGCAGTGACTGATATGGTCCTACCTGTTTGGTTACTCATGTGTCCATAAGGATTTAAATTTGTTCCTGTTTTACAGAAAGCAAATTTGATCCAATTCATGAGTTTCTGTTAGTCCTTATGACTCGGAAGGTCGTTTTTTTGGTTGCAATTACTTTGGCAAGAAGAGTAGTGAATTTGGCAGCTCTTTTCTGTAAGTAGCTGTTTTTGGTACTACATCAGTACAAGGTAGTACTGCGTCTCTATCCATCCAGATGTGGTTTGGGCTATCAAGATATATTTGAAAATGTCTGCGGCAATCAGGCAGTCACATTCATTGTTTTGTCCTTCCTAAAGGCTCTAGGAAATGTTTTGCATTGCAGCTCTGTAGATGTATTGCTTCTGTATGAAAACAAATGATTATGAGTGGTTGACTTTGTCTGTCAAACAATATGAACAGGGCAGGAGAGCGGTACCAGTGTTGTATATGAGGGGACTGTGAGACGATTGGAATTTCATTGACTGTTATAAAGGAAAGCGAAATCTTTCCCATCTTTGGACAGGCAGAGCTAGTGGTAGACACACGTTAGCTGCTTTGTCAGCTAAAGATAATGGTACGTGTGTTTAAAATTACAAAGAGACTGCTGCAATAAAAATAAAATTAACAATAAATTGGAGTGTTAACACATTAGCTCTGCTGTTTTTTGTATGAGCTTTGATTATGATTCAAAACACAATTTGACCTTTGTAAATCAATGTATTCCTTCCACTGATGTTGATAATTAACTTATCCTGAGAGTGATAAGTAGGATACCATGATAACCTCTTTTTCTGAGAATGCAATTGCCTGGCTATTAATCTAATTTAATCATTTTAATAGTTTACTACCTTACATATCAAGGTATGTTTCTAAACATGCAAGGGGTAAAGCAAGATACCAGCTGCTTCTAAAGCTGTGAGCTTTGGTATTGATTTTTTTCATCTGACAGCCAGCTTTGACGTAAGGCTCCATGTACACTAGCATTTAAGCTCCTAGAAGCTGATATTAGCATTTTTCTTTGTGCTCCTAGAAGCTAAATAGTGTTATCCTATGTGTCCATGCAGACTACTTTAGGCTATTAGCATTTTTTGAGCTTCAGTGTCTAGAGGTAGAAAAAAAATTGTTTTTGTTGAGTTTTTTGGAGCAGCAGAAAAATGCTAAACCCTACTAAACCGTTCTTAACAGATTTTTCTTTTTTCCTCAACTTGTAAAAATGTTAATAAAACACTAATGCTCCTGAACGCTACAAAAAAAATGCTACTACCAGTGTTTTTTAATCCAGCATTTTTCCAGCTTTTTTGAGCTTAAAAACAGCTTTAAAAAAGTGTGCATGAAGGCTAAGGCTCCATGCACACTGGGTGTTTTAATAACGCTGGTAGCATTAGCTGTGTAAAGTCACATTAAAAACTTGAGTTTTTTAGCATTTTTGCATTAGCATTTAGCCGCATTTTTCTGAGTTTGCATTTTCTTAGCGTTTTTTTTTTTTACACACACACAAAAATTATTTTTTGCTCAAAAGTCCAAAAATGCTGGTTTGCTGTGTTTTTTTTCTGCGTTTTGCCGTCTTTTCAGTGTTAGAGCGTTTTTACAGCTAAAAAACTCCCCTAGAAACCACTAGTTCTGGGGGGTTTTTTCCAACCAAAAAAAGCCCCTGCCAAAAAACACTGATTAAAGCTTATGTGTGCATGGACACATAGAATAACATACTGGGGAGTTTACTTGCTGTCGAAAAAAACTGCCAAAAGCCAAAAACAGCAGCTGTAAAAACATCCAGTGTGCATGAGGACTTAAAGTGATCCAGACCCTGAAGGTACACCACCGACTCCCCTCTCTATGTTGGGAAGCCCAGAACCATGGTAAATGCAAAGTATTTGAAGCTAGAGGAGATCGGAGAACATCAGTACCCTGATCTCTGCACAGAATGAACCCAGAAACTACTTGTATTATGTCACTTCTTGATTCAGAGCAATCATTGCCCAGCTACTGCAGTCGAGGAAACCAATAATCTAACATGATTTGTGCTTGATTAACTGCATGTCTTCCTACAGATGACCTGTCAGCTGTCCATGCATTCAGATAGGAGGCCTGTTAGCCCCCTTGTGATCACTATAAAGTTAAATTAAAAAAAAAAAAATGAAAGTGTTAAAAAAATAATTTAAAAATGTAAAAGCTTTCCCATCACCCCTGTACATACCCAAATGCACTAGCAACATAATTTGTGCTACTCATGTGACGTATCACTATGGACGTTTGAGTAGGAGCAATAATTTTAGGACCATACTTTAAAGCTAACTCTGAACTGATAACTTGTAAAGACTTTTTAAAGTATTGCCTGTGGACAATAATTGGTACCATAGTTTTTTATTATTAAATTATTATATTCAAATATTGAGATATTCTTATATCTTCTTACTGGGACAGAGTTGTAAATTATTAGATACATAAACACAAGTGCTAGAATTTAAAATACTATACACTGCAGCTATGAATGCAAGACCTATAAGCCTTTTAGCATTAGGAAAAAGTATATCTAACATGCTATTACTATTTCTAATTAAAGTACTATTTATGTAACATTTGCTGTGTCATTACAACTAGCATTCTGGTCCTCACCCACTGGATTCCATGAGTCTCCTGATGCAATTCTAAAATGCTTCTTCAACTGTTCTCGGAATATGTGGTAGATGTGTGGGCGAATTGTAACCAGGCGAATGGAAGTCAAAGAATCCGTGTTTCTAGTCCTGGCAAATAAGGCTATTGCATTCACAAATTGGTTTGCCACTTCAAATGGATTAAATCCACATTCACCTAAGATGAAGGAAAAAAAAAAAACAGAGGGGACCTCTGCTCAAGTTCACATGAAATTATTGTATACTTGGTTTTTCCATTTGACTACATGATTTACCTTCACAACAAAGAGCAGGTTGAATCAAATTAAACATTCATTAAATAAAAATCTATACTTTCAGAGACAAGGATCCTAAAGCTGCCCATACATTAAAGCGGAACTACACTGCATCTGAACACCACACATCAAAATGTAATTACGTTTCAATATTGAAAGCAAACTAATCCATCCATGTCTTCATGATTTATTTTTCTGAGAAATCACCCCCTTGCATTTCTAGCTACAGTCATCTCGAGTAGGCGCTGATGATTCATGCAGCATTTACTTCTGGAAATCCTTCTGCCCTTAGCTCAGGTATGCAGACCGGAGTGTGTGTTTAAACCTCCTTAACCCCAAATATAATTTCTTATGTATTTATTAATGCTATCAGCATAAAGATTAAAAATAGTCAATATCTTTTGAATCGCTCTCTCTCTCTCCCTCTCCCTCTCTCCCTCTCCCTCCCTCTCTCCCCCTCCCTCTCTCCCTCTCCTTCTCCCTCTCCCTCTCTCCCTCTCCCTCTCTCCCTTGCCCTCTCTGCCTTGCCCTTCCTCCCCCTCCCCCCCTCCCCCCCCCCCCCCCCCTCTCTCTCTCTCTCTCTCTCTCTCGCCAAGGCACCCCTGAAGTACTCAGGAGACACCCTGGTTGGAAAAGTATGCTTTAAGGGAGCTGATAGTGACTGCATGCATAAAGATGCAATCTGAAAAGTTATGATGTTCACCATTAATGGATAAATATTTTTCATGGTAGCTGTTTTATTTAAATTGGATATAATTTCTTTATAATTATGCATCATATTCTGTCTTTAATTGGTTTACCAAACCGATTAGTTTGTGTCAGAGTAAATTTTATGATATGTTTTATAGAGTTGAGAGGGAAAATATTAAATACTTTAGTATTTGCTGCTTCAGGTGTTTTTCTGGAACTTGCAGAGTTGGCTTTCAATGCATAAATGAGTAGTAAAGAAATCAAGTAAATCAGGTAAGCCCACATCTGACAATGCATTAGAAATACAGATAAGTCATCGGGAACTTATGATCAAATTATTTTGAAACATATTCAATTTACACATTACTATAGACCTATGACCAACCACAAAGCAAACAATTCACAGTAATGGACCTTAGTCTACAGTACATAACTTGATAAAGGGCCAATGTTTTAAAATACTATGCTGTGCTGTTGGCCCATGCTTGATCTGTAATGTACATTAACCCCTTGGTGTTGGTGCCTGGTGGCCCTTTAAGGGGTTTGTGACATGAGGCAGCGTGGGGTTTAGGGTCATGTGACCACTGTGATTGGCTATCATGGCAGTCACATGATCAGAAAGCTCTGACCACAAGCAGCGATGGGGACCTTTCCTTGAGGTGCAGTAAATGTGCCAGGAGCAGGCAAGGCACGCACTCTCGGCAAATGTTTTGATTACATTGGGTGTGCAAATATGCGGTCACTCGGCGCCAAGGCCCAGCCGCCGAGAGACTACATATTTGCGTACGCTTGGCACTAAAGCGTTAAAAATAATATATTCAAAATAAGCTCTGTTTTCACTACTTTATTGAAGTAATTAAACTAAGTTTGAACTTGTTTCTACCTAAAACCTGACCACAGGAGATAAACCTAGCTTTATCATATTCTCTTTCATTCTTACAAAAAGTCTTGATTACATTTTGAAATACAATGCCCGTGCATCCAGATTTTTTCTTACCTGTGCCAATGGCCGGAATGGCCACAGATTTTAGACCCGCAGTTTCACACCGAAGCAAGAGAGCTGTTACAAGTTTGTCAATGTTCTCCACTTTGTTTTCACAATTACAGTGTAGAATCCACTTGCAGGGTAGAGCTCCATGTTCTGTCATAACAATTGCTGTTAGTGCAGCCCCTAAAGATTGTAAAATTATGGGTATAATTGTTATATACAGTGTATATTTTTTCATATCTATATCATTAATTCTTTCCAACATAGGGCTGGCCTTTGGTAATATTGTCTCATGTGTAAATTAGAGTATAAATCCCTTATTCTCCCAATTCTTCCTCCCAGTAAATAAAGTAGAACTAAAGGCAAAACCTTTTTTTTTTTTTTTCATTTTGGCTAGAGTAAGGAAGGGATATTTCCTTTACTTCCTGCCCCATAGCCGCAACAGGAAGTGAGAGGAAATCCCTCCAAAATGTGGGAATCCGTGGTTGTCACCAGAATTAATGTTCCCATTTGAAGATTTCCCCTTTTTGGTGATATTAGTATACATGATCGAGAGGGTGAATCTTCCTAATGGCGGCAAAAACAGCATTAAAAACCTGACTGATGTTCTCATTTCTCTGCCCTATATTAAAAAAAAAAGGGAAAATCTTCCAATGGGAACACTAATTCTTGTGACTCTGGTTACAACCAGGGATTCACACATTTTGGAGGGATTTCCTCTCACTTCCTGTTGTGGTTATGGGGCAGGTAGTAAAGGGAATCTCCCCAATGGGAATGAGATGGTAAAAATAAAACTGACAGGGATTATATCCCTTCCTTGCTCTATTCAAAATGGGAAAAAAAAAACAGGTTTTGTCTTTAGTTCTACATTTTGGTGATAATCGTATACATGATAGAGAGGGTTAATCTTACTAATGGCAGCAGAAACAGCATTAAAAACCTGACAGATGTTCTAATTTCTCTCCCCTATATTAAAAACTAAAATGGTTTTTCTGTAGTTATAGATTAAAGCTTTTATATATATATATATATATATATATATATATATATATATATATATATATATATATATAAAAGAGAAGGATCTATGAATAGAGTGGGCGGCGGACCTTTCAATCACCTGCCCATCCTCCATTCATATATCATTTTTCATTCATAGAAGCTATAGTACAGCTTCTGTGAATGGAGGAGGGGGCGGAAAGGACAGGCATAATCGGAACTTCTAGATGAGCGCTTGTCACTGCAGGCCAGTTTTAGCTTGGGGCAGTGGCCATTTCTTTGTACTGTTGATATATTGGTGAGGAAGCTGACTGAACACCTTTGCTGCCATTGTGCTATATGCTGGGTGTCCAGTGGGTCCGTGTGCCGTTAAGGAGGGGTGGGCTCCCTCAGGCTCACCTGCCCTCAGGCTATCCGTTATGATACATGTGCTTCTACTATTGAGGCTCTCACAATGTATACAGTTAGGGACTGCAGAATATTGAGGTGCTGTGAAGAGGCTCTGCAGCTTGTGCATGTATTTGCAAATGTGTGCTAACTAAACCCCTGTTTTTAACGCAAACTGTTAGGACAATTTGGTTGGTTGCAGGCTGATCTGTAAGTTGAGCTGGGGATTTTTCTCTTTTATTGTTTGACATGTGTTGCTCTTCCATGTGCTTCTTGCTGTAAAGGCCAGTTATAGATTGGGACAGTGGCCATTTGTTTGTCCTGTCACTGCAGGGGCACCAGCACAAGGGGCACCACACATTAATAGTAAGTAACAGCCCTTGTGCTGATTTTTTTTTCTTTTTTTTTGGGGGGGGGGGGGTTAACTGAACTTAGCTTTTAAGGATTGTGTCAGAGGGGCAAGCAACCTTCAGCACTATAAAGAAGTTTTGCCTAATCAGAACTGTCACAATTGATTAGCATTCAGTTGTCCCAGAGGATACTAAAAGCTTACCTGTCAAATCTGGGTGTCTACACTGCTTACTTATCAGTAATGTTCAGTTTACTTAAAGTGAGATAGTCACTTTACCACTTGAGATGTTTGCCTGAACACTTTTACAGGACTTACAGCATGCTCCCCCCCCCCCCCCCCTCCTTCCCATCGGTCTAGGTGGCAAGTGGGTAGAAATATAGGAACATACTTTCCCTATATCTTTATTTTCCCTATGTCCTCAGCAAGATGTGAACACAGGAGCGCTCATTTCTGAGCAGATCTGGGTTTGAAGCTGAGCCAAAATCCTAGCTAGAAAGCTGGGTATTTTAGTGTACTTTTTCATGAAAATATAAATTTGGTAAACAATTGAGCAAATATTGTAAAAACAATTGGGCTACTGTCGTTTTCATGCTTCAGGGCCTTGGTGTTTAGAAAATATATAATGTTTTGGGGGTGTTAGGTAATTTTCTATCCAGAAATGCAGATTTTAACATGTGGTCAAACAAATTTTTAAAAAATTACTCCAGGGCCAAAGTGGTTAATGTATACCATAAAAAGTGTTTATGTGCTTACTTTCCTTGGCAGATTGTTGTCATTTGCACTTACCATCTTTAGCCACTTTAACAATATTTTGTCCTGCTGCCGTAAATATAGCATTAGCCACAGCTGCAAAAGACACAAATATTAAGTATATTTTTATTATATATTCAATTTATAACTATATATTTAATTCATATAATAAAATATACAATTAAATATTTACATATATTATACTGTCATGCAACGGCCAACTCAACTCTGCTTTATACACCTAAATCTTCCTGCTGTTAATACTGATAACTACATTTTTTTTTTTTTTTAGACCCTCAAGTTTCTATTGGGTTGAAAAACTATGGTAAAAATAAGCTACATTATTTAAACCAGCTCAGACAAGATTCCAAAATTGCTAGGGATTAATTGATTAGAGTAATAAGTGATTGCATCACATATTAAATAAGTGGTTCCCTATGGTGTAAGCTTTACAAGCAACATGTAATAAATGTGATCACACACATTTGGGGCATTATGCAATCACGGCTGATTGTGTGCGATTTGTTGCTGTGTGTTCTGTTTGTTCAGTGATCAGTCACTGCCCTTTTGAGTGAGTTTCTAAGAATCAGCCATGTAGTCCTAGCCTGGGTGGAACACTCTGTCTGATTTAGGGCCCATTCAGATCAGGGCAACCTCGTTGGTGTG